AAAAAAAGATAATTATAAAGAAATATGATTATAAAGAGATATAATTTAGAAAATTATTATAATGTTTAATTCTAATTATTTTTAAAAAATAATTATAAAATTTTTAATTTTTATGATTAAGTTTATATAATTAAGTTATTACTTTTCTATACTTTTTTATTAGAATTTTCTTTTATTATATACTTAAGTCTTAGTATTCTATTAAATAATAAGCAAAAATCTTTTAAGAATTATTATTAATAAGTTTGCAAGAATTATATTAAGTTTGTAAATTTAAAATTAGAAGTTATCAATTATTATCAAATTTCTTATCTGAAATTGCAAATATATCTTTTATATTAAAAAGAAAAGCTCTTTTTTATCTAAAGAGAGTTAATAATAAAAAGAATAATGATAAACATAATAATATAGATGATAATGAATATAATGATAAAAATAATAATGTAAATATATAAAATAATATATAAGTAAAGTTTAAATTCTGAAATTCAGAAAATAAACTTTAAAATGAAATAAAATAATATTAACATTATAAAAATAATAAATAATTATTTTCATCAATATAAAGCCAATGACAGAGCTAACAAATATTATTATTTCTAACTAAGTCAGCTTAAAAAAAAGATAGAATGCATTTGAAATCTAAATATCACATTTGATTCAAGTATATAGACTTTGTAGCAAATCTATCTTGACAAAAGAAAGAAATATCCAAACCTTTTTCATGTACAAATATATAAAAATATATGATTTATCAATCTATATACATATGATTATACAAAGGCAACTCCGTTATAACGAAGTGGTCGGTGCTATTAGTAAAAAATTCGGTTTATCCGAGGTTTCATTAGTAAATTCGGTTTAACGGGGAGATTTACTATAACTGGTCCTGGAGCCATCTTCGGTTGTAATTAGTGCTTCAGTTAAACGGGGTTCGTTATAACGGGGTTGCCTCTGTATATTATAAATTCTATATATAACTAGCCAAGTTGTACGGTTTCCTGGATATATATAATTATATTAAGGAAAAAAGAAATCTGCGATTTGCAAGTGAATACTTGAAAAAAGTCAAGTTATCTTTTAATCATGTGTATTTTAACTAATTTCATTGGCTAAAAAACACATTATCTTGATCATAAAATCGTCATCGCCACGTAAGCCATCTCAAAGAATTTATACATGTATTTGAAAATTTGCTTTGCCAGAACGAAGACAAAATTAAACTAATAATGAAGTTAACAATTAAAACTTTGCAACAAAAATCGTTTTCACTCGATGTGGAGCCCGAAGATCAGGTTTTTTTATATTAGCCTTTTAACTTTTCTTGTTTTACTTGTATACTATTTGAAAAATTAAGTATTAAATAATTATATGCTTATAATTGGCAGGTTGTAACTGTAAAGGAAAAAATTGAAAAATCTCAAGGATATCCAATATCTCTTCAAAAGCTCATTTTTTCAGGTTCAATTAAACTCTATATATCATTGATTGTCATTTCATTATATGCATTACAGTATATTGCCAGCATTTTACAAATAAACATATTATTAATATTTTTTATTTTAATTTTAGGCAAAATCCTTGTGGATGATAAACCTATATCCGAATATAACATATCTGAAAAAGACTTTCTAGTTATAATGGTATCCAAGGTTGTAATTCCATTGCTTGATAACAATCATTACAGTTAAACCTCGTCTTAGCGGACTATAATTAAATTCATATTATAATGGATTTAAAAATTTTTGCTTCACATAAAACATAAAAAATCTGTTTTATATGTCCGCTATGGCAAGGTTGACTGTATATAAGATTTTATTTATCGAGTAAATGTTCTTATGGATTGTTTATTATTTATATTTAATAGCCAAAACCCGCACAGACTACGGAAAAAGCTCAACCGGTTTCTTCCCCTAATGTACCACCCCCGGCCACATTAAATCCATCTCCACCTGCGCCAGCCCCTGAGGTCTCACCAACAGCTCCCACTTCAACTCAGGCTAATCCCCTTCCAGCTGCGGCTACACCTTCACAACCAGCGACTACACCTTCACAACCTTCACAACCTGCACAACCTACACAGCCAACGCAAATATGGGGCAATGCTAGCGCTTTAGGTAGACTCAATGAAATTCTTGCATGTTAACTAATTAAATTAAAACTTTTTATTAATTATTTTATTTTTGTTTCAAAATAGTTGCCGGAGCTGAACTTGAAAAGACAATACAAAGTATTATGGAAATGGGTTTTGATCGTCCTGAAGTAGAAAAAGCGTTGCGTGCTAGCTTTTTTAATCCTGACAGAGCTGTTGAATATTTAATGATTGTATGTTTATTAATTTTATCTTTATTTAATTCAATTATTTCTTTTATCTTACTATCATTTTATTTTAACTAGGGAATTCCTGAAAATATGGAATCTACCACTCAACCTGCACCGACTAATCGACAAACACCATCATCTGTACCTGTAACAGTTACAGCTCCCTCCTCTAATTCAAACACAGCTTCTACTCCAGCATGTATGTCTATTTCGGTTTTTTTGTTGTTGAATAAATTTTGTCCATTTAAATTATATCATAGTAAAATATTTTTAGCAGCACAAAATCTGCTTCAACAAGCTGCGCTGGCTGCTTCTCAACAGCAACAAGGAAATAGCAATAACAATAATAACAGCAGCGACAACAATAATACTAATGCTACCACCACCACCACCACCACTAATAATAATAATAATACGGATGATTTAAATTTTTTAAGAAATCATCCTCAGTTTCAACAATTACGACAGGTTGTCCAACAAAATCCTACGTTTTTGCAACCATTGCTTCAACAAATTGGGCAATCAAATCCTCAACTATTACAGGTATAAAGTGAATAATTATGGTACTGTTTTTGTAGTTATTGTTGTTTGATATTTTTATTTAAAATCGATTTTAATCTTTTAGCTTATTAATGCCAATCAACAAACTTTTCTGGAGCTTTTGAATGAAGGTTCAACTGATCAATCGGCATTGACAGCAGGTGAAGGAAATCTTTCTTCCCCACACTACGTCTCTGTTACCCCGGAAGAAAAGGAAGCGATTGATAGAGTAAGTGCTATCTATTTTATTCATTATCCGTGTTTTGAAGGCGTTAATGATAAATCTTAATTGATACATTTTTCCAGTTGGAAGCTTTGGGCTTTGATAGAGCACTTGCCATCGAGGCTTTTCTTGCATGTGATCGAAATGAGGAATTAGCGGCCAACTATCTTTTTGATCATGTGAATGATGAATAAAAGAGGACATTGTTTTAATAATTGACAAGTCAAATAAAAGCTTGCAGTAAATTGGATATCTTATTTCCAATAATTAATTTCCAAAGATATGCTGTTGGTAATAATAGTAGTAATAATAACATTATGTTAATTATTAGTTTGGATTGGTATTAGGTACCAATCTACCTTGTACAAATATTTTATAGGATCTTTTTCTCGATATGAATAGAGCTAAACTTTATCAATATTTTTGACTAATAAGGAAAGCGATGAATATTATTAAATCACGATTCATCAATAAATGATAGCCAAGTGTTACGAATTATTTGTCCAACCTTTTGTCAGTTATTCTTGTTAAAAATAATGCAAAAAAATTTTCAACTTCAATTTTAATAATAGATTTTTTTTACCAGAAGGTAAAATTAGTTCAGTGTCTCTTCTTAAACTACTCCTTGAAATGTCCTTTTGATAATTTGCTGAATAGTAATAGTAATATTAATTATATAAATACTTACAAACAAAAATAATATATAAATGTCAATTCCTGTCATTTGGCCGATACTTCCGACAGAATAAGTTTTTTTCGACGTTCGAAATCCGTTGTACTAATAATATTACTACTACTATTACTATTATTACTATTGTTGTTGTTGTTGTTGTTGTTGTTACTGCTACTATTATTACTACTGTTATTATTACTATTATTACTATTGTTATTACTACTACTATTATTATTAATAATATTAGTAGTAGTGGTAGTATTGTTGCTGCTTTTACTGTTATTAATGCTATTAATATTATTTTGATCCTTATTCGGTTGACGATGAATTTGACGGTTTTGTTGATGAGAATTATTATCTTTATCTGATTCGTAACCTTCTTCCGTTGCGAGCCATGCATTAACGATTGAAATATTTTTATTAAGCATTATTGGGATTTCACTATTTTCTCTCCCCGGATAATCACGAGCTGATTGATTTTGCGTACTATTGGAGACTATAGATCTTGTCGATTGTGAATTCGACAACGTCGATATAGGCGTAGAAATTGAAGGTGTTGTAGGTTTTGGCGTTGGATTTGTCATCAACATCATATTACTCTGTATCGATTCACGAATTAATCTCAAGTCTTCTTCTTGTTGTTGTTCTTCCAGAGACTCTGGCCTTAGAGGTAAAAAAAAATGGCCAAATTTAGGGTTAAGAATGCAGAAATTATGATTTATTTAATCAATCAACGCAAGAAAAAATCAGTCAGGAAAATGGATATAGATTGTGAAAATATAGCTTGAATCGTGGTGACTTTCATTTTTCCACGAAACATCATCTTCCATCTTTCTGATAATTGTTTCTTCTTTTTCATCTATTGAAGTCATCTCTTTTGATTTTACTGTGATAAATTGTATTAATACTTTATAATGAATAAAAAGAAAGATTAAAATATACAGACAAAGAGCGTGAAAGGAAAAATTCGTACGTTTACTCTGTGAATATTCATAAATTAATCGATTTTTTTTTGATAGCATCTCCTGCAGCATAGATTTTCTTAGAGCACGTCGTTTATCCTTTAAATTATAAGGTAGATTGATAGTAAGCATTTTTGCATGAATTCATTAAGTTAACTCAATAAATTATTAATACCATATATTGTCCCGTCGAGTGACTTATTTGTGCCTCAAAATTTATCTCGATCGCTTCATCTCGTAATTTTCGTCTTCGTTCTGCGTTTACTTCACGACGTTGACGATCTTCATCTTTTTTTTCATTTAATCGCACAAGTTCAGGATGCAAAAAATGCAATATATCGTCTTTTTCCTTATCTAAGTCTTTTTCCTTGGCTTCGAAAAACCTAATCATACATTAACAAACAATAAAAATAAGCATTTTCCAGAAAACTCGGTTCAAATATTGAGCCATACCTCTTCTTAATCGCGTTATGTTCTACTTTAATTTCTGCAAGCCTTCTCTCCCTGATCTTACGCTCTTCTTTCCAATTTTTTTCTTCTATGTCATAATTCTCCGAGTTGCTTTCCTCGGAAATAATAGATTCTAAAAGAGGTCAAATAAATCATAGGAACAAAGAAAACTCAGTTGGAAAAAAACAAAAAACAGGTAAATAATGTAAATTATTTCGAAGTAGAGCGAAAAGTTAAATTTATAAATAACTTCTCTTTTGATTGTTTGTTTATTCAAAAATCATACGCTTTCTTTATACTTTCTTGCTAAAACATACAATACACGTATATATATATGTGTGTGTGTATTGTATGAAAAGGAAAAGTACAATAAACTTTACTTACCACCAGAGTCATGTGAAGTATATTGATATTCTTCTTCCATATTTATATCTTTTATCGATTCCTGAGCTACTTCTCGTTCGTCTTCCATTTCTACCATTTGTTCTTCATTTTCCTCTTCCTCCTCCTCTTCCTCCTCTTCTTCAATCTCCTCCGCTTCCATTTCTTCCTCGCCACTTTCTGAAGTACCCTCTATGGCAGACCCACGATTCGTGAAGGGGCCGTTACTAAAAAACCGCCTACTTCGGATTGCTTTGCCATCTATTGAAGAATCAATTGAACTCTGCCTAGTTGCAACGACCCTTGAATTGTTCCCTTTTAAAGAGTTATGGTGTGAGTTGGCGAATGCACGTCGACTAGTTATGCGCCTTGAGGCTGCAAATATAAGTGATAATAAGTTGTACGTTTTGAAAAAGAGTAGTAGTCTTTATATTTCAGTAATTTGAGGATGAGGACAGGAATTTTGAAGTACCGAGAAGATACGAGTGCATGAAGAAGTAAAGGAATATAAAGTTTCGAAAGCTTACAGACTCTCACTGGTGAGCTACGATAAGAAGCGTAGTTGCCTCCAATATGATTTCCATTCGGTAGTGTGTTCATACTATAAGTTTTACTAGGGTCCGTATTTAAAAAGCGCGACTAAAGGAAAAATAATAGGAATTTGGTCGATAATAGAGGGTCTAGAATAACGGAAACAAGTCAAATTTCTACCGAAAATAAGTGAGAAAATAAAAACAGCCAGGCTCTGAATATCGCTTACTTTAACACTGCGTTTTCTGGGTCCTTTCAATAATAAATTTTCCATCAAAGCTCACGAATTTAAAAGTAAACACGCTTTTTATATCACATATTAGTTTCACGTGATTTCTTTCTAGAAGTTGCGGTGATTATCAAGTTTGAAACCTCGATTTATTTCTCATTTCGAATTGTAAAAATCATAAGGACGTGATAATTAAAAAACAAAAACCCATTTATGAGAACGGCTTATTAGATAGATAATCAGAACAATTGAATTTTACTCGTCAAAGAAATCAGAATTTTAAGTCAACCCGAAAAGGATAAATAATAATAATAGAGGGTAAAAAATAATTCAATGTAAAATATAACGATAAAATCAATTATCATTATTATCACTAGTTACACGAGAATTGTCGACTATGTAAATTAATTTATTTATTTATTTCTAAAATTATATAAAAATACTTCGTGATAATCAAAAAATGCTAGTTCGCTATGACGTGCATCACACCTGATGCACACAATGATAAACGTAGAAAACGCAGTGATCATTCATCAAAAAGACCCCCGTAGATTATTTACTCCCTTTATTTAATATAGCCACCTCCTCTAACCAATAACTAAAATGTCTCAAGACTCAGAAGACGATCTTGCACCCCTTGAACCTACTCTACAAAACGTACTTGATCAAGAATCTTTACATTGGATATTTGTTGGAGGGAAAGGAGGTGTTGGTAAGTTGTCTCAATGAATTATCAAGTTAATTTTTAGCTTTCAGTTGATTTGATTTAATGCTTTTGTTTAAAGGTAAAACCACCACCTCCTGTTCGCTTGCTGTACAACTCAGCAAGGTCAGAGATTCCGTTCTGTTGATATCAACTGACCCTGCTCATAATCTGAGTGACGCTTTTGGACAAAAATTCAGCAAGGAAGCAACACAAGTTAACGGATTTAGTAATTTATTTGCAATGGTAAGTAAATCCACAATATTTATTCGATTTTATTCGATATAATTAATATAATCAAAATAATTAAAAGAGATAAAAATTCCTTTCATCTGAAATTACCATCTATAGGAAATTGACCCTACATCTTCAATTCAAGAGATGCTAGATCAATGTAAATGATTTTTGATTATAAATTTGGGAGATTAATCTGAAATTTTTTTTGAAAATTCTAAATGACATTTTCATAATTCTTATAATTAGCTGAACAACAGGGAGGAGCAATGGGTTCGATGATGCAGGATTTAGCATTTGCCATCCCTGGTGTTGACGAAGCTATGGGTTTCGCCGAGGTTATGAAGTAAGTGATAAATCTGTATTTATATTTAATTCGTTACCTATTAAGTATCTTTATGTTATAAATAGACAAGTAAAAACAATGGAGTATTCTGTTATTATCTTTGATACTGCACCCACTGGACACACATTACGATTCTTGAGTTTTCCAAGTGTACTCGAAAAAGCTTTGGCAAAAATTTCGCAATTAAGTGGGCGATTTGGTCCAATGTTTCAACAAGTGAATTCACTTTAATTTTCGTCACATCTTTATTATTATTCTTCTTCCATGCCTAAACGAATATTTATTTTCTTCTCGTATCAAGATGTCAGGCATGATGGGATTAAATGCTAATCAAGAAGATATGTTTGGTAAGCTTGAAGGAATGCGAGCTATTATCCAGGAAGTCAATAATCAATTTAAGGATCCTGTAAGTTCTTCAATGAATTTCCATCCGTTATATAATACTTTTATTTTCTCATCCGGATTAATAATTTTCCGCACAAAAATTAATTCAGGATAAAACGACGTTTATTTGTGTGTGTATTTCTGAATTCTTGTCTCTTTATGAGACAGAACGAATGATTCAAGAATTGACATCATATCACATTGATACTCATAATATTGTAGTAAATCAATTGCTGTTTCCAAAAAAAGGTACGTAAATTTAGAAAGTCGCCCCCCCCCCCCCCCCCCTTTTTTTTTGCTCCGATTCAATCTAATTTTTTTGCTCTTATATGTAAAATTGAAGATTCGAACTGTGAGCAATGTTTAGTACGGCACAAGATGCAGAGAAAATATTTAGACCAAATTTATGATTTATACGAAGATTTCCACATTGTTCTAATGCCACTTTTGACAAAAGAAATACGTGGTACTCAAGATATAACAGAATTTTCTGAAATGTTAGTGAAACCTTTTAAAGCACCTGATGAACAAGCCAATGAAGATGTTTCAATGCCCTCTTAAGTTATCTTTAATTATCGAATGATACAGATGATTAACACAACTGAAATTCAAAACATTCTTTATCTCCGAATTTAGTAAAAATTAGGCCAAATCATCATCATCATCATCATCATCGTTAGATCTTTCTATTTATTTTAATGAATTTTGAAGGGAGATTTAATAATTAATTTTATATATATAATCCAATACTGATAGTAGAAATAGTAGAGTAACGCAAGATCACAAATACGTTTTATATTAATATAACGAGCTTAGATGCACTGTGTGCACAAGTAAAACATTTTTATCTACTTCATGAAACCATACAATGTACGTATAATCAATAAATTCATTTAAGAATGCTTTCTATAATGCGAAATCGAGCCATCAATTTAACCAAGTATCTAAAATATTCAACGCTTACCAGAAATAGTGAATTTCTACGATTCTCGAGCTATTTTAAGTTACCAAAGAAAATCAATAATTGTCGTAATCAACTATATCATAATAAATATTCATTATCAATTCCAAAAATCAAGAATGTCACAACATCCGTTAATGAGTTGGTAGTGAACTGGAGTGATAATACAGACTCGCATTATAGTTATATTTGGCTTCGTGATAACTGTAATTGTGTGGAATGTATTCATCCAGCGAGTCGTCAAAAATTACACTCAAGTGCACAAATACCATTAAATATAGAGCCAATATCGACTATTTCGTACGATGAAGGGATTGAAATTTTATGGGGAAAGGAGTTATTAAAAGATGTATTGAATTCACCATCGAAAAATGCAATACATCATAAAAGTATTTACACTCCAGATTTTCTTCACTCTTACAAATCGACTCGGAATATTTTATCGAAAAGATTTAATGATTTACCCATTACTCATTGGGATGCATCCTTAATGCGATCTAAAAATTTATGGGTCAACTATGATGAATTCATCAATTCTGATCGAGAATTATTATCTGCATTAAAACAAATATGGAATTATGGATTAGTTTTTCTCAGAGATGTCCCGGCGTTTAATTCGTTAGATGGAAAAGAAGGAATAATTAAGGTAGTGGAACGAATCGGATCATTGCAAAATACTATTTATGGAAGTATATGGGATGTCAAAAGTAAACCGGATTCGCGAAATATTGCTTATACGGAATTAGAATTAGGACTACATATGGATTTATTATACTATGAGGCATCACCTGGACTTCAATTTCTTCATTGTCTTAAGAATACAGTAAATGGAGGCAAAAGTATTTTCGCTGACTCTTTTATGGCAGTCACTCGTTTACAACAACAATACCCAAAAGATTACGAGATATTGACCAAAGTTCCTATGACATTTCATTATATCAATGATGGGCATTTCATGCATTTCAATCGACCAGTAATCGTAATAGATCAAGCAAACGATTCGATGGTGGTAAACTATTCACCTCCATTCCAGGGGCCAATTGAGACTGGATTTGAAAATAATGATAATAACCATTCACCAATCAAAAATGGAGAAATTCCGATGAGAGAATTCTATCGTGCATTTCAACGATTTTCCTCACTTGTTGAAGCTCCGGAATTACGATTTGAGTTATTGTTAAATTCCGGTGAGTTGGCAATTTTCGCTAACCGTCGAGTATTGCATGGTAGACGAAGATTTGATGCTGAAAGCGGTGAAAGGCATTTAAAAGGAGCTTATTTGGATATGTCTGAATTCAAAGATCGGCTTAGAGTTTTGCTAATGAATGAAAATCAAAAGAAACTCTAGAAATCATCTTCGAACTAATCTGAATTTATTTTTTATTAGTTTGGTAATTCTGTTCTTTTTCTTTTCCTTTTTTTGGAAATCTTTGTTTTAATTTTATCGTCATTTTTGTTATCATCAGCATCTTTCATATTCATATTAATATCAATATTGGTATTGGATGTTTCTTTGTTATTAACCTTGCTAAATAAAAATAATAAAAAAGGATGTCAAATTCAAAGCATTAAATAATTACGATAAATAATAAATTCATTACCACTTATCAATAATAATGGTCTTTTCATCTTGTTCCTCGATGATGTTTCGTTTCTTGTTAGTTGATTCATTTTGATAGTCATGATATTTTGCTCTCACAAAATTTCTATATAGAGCTTTTTTTGCCAACAACACTTTTGATGTCGATTTTATATTATTTGAGTTAATAATTTCTAGTTTACTTGCGTCTTCAGAATCAAATCCAATTCCGTTCCAAGATTTTTCTTTATTACCCAATTCATCATCTTTATTCTTCCTGTTCGAAATTGTATCGTTGTAATTATCATTTATCGAATACAAAGATTCACTTGTGTTAATGATTCCAGTTCTGGTACGTGGTGGTCCAGCATTGTTTTTGTTGATTTTTGTTAGTTTCACATGCTATTTTTCGGAAAAATTTGGAGATAATAAATAAAAGTCACGCTGTTCATTAAACAAAAAAAAAGAATATACATCTACAGATATTTCTTTACCCCATCAAAATAATTTTTTCCCTTGTGTTTATCATTATCCTCGTTTACACGTACAATTTTAAGATTATTTAACGCGTCATTATATATCTGATCCCACCATGCGAAGCCCCAATCTTCGCTACCTTGTCCAAGCTTTAAAGTAAAAATAAAATTCATCTATTAATTTAGGCAAATGGTAATACACCTCTATTTATTATTTTTAGCTTCAGGACTCACCCCCTTTGTATCATTCTTTATTTTAACTTGCACAGCTCTCGTTTGACCTTTTTCATTCTTCCCTAAACCCTTTCCAACACTCCATCCATATTTTTTTAACTGTGTTTCTGCAAAATTGCGAACAATGTCATTGTTGCTGTGGTAATTTGTTTTGATGTTGTCAGTGACTGCGTCAGCATTAGTGAAGTTATGTGCCATGCAAAAAAAAAAATCGAAACCTGAAAACAAGTTTAATTATGGTCACGGGAACCGCTTAATTTGGTCCATTTTTTTGATGATTTTGGATATCTTTCTTTTGTAAGTAATGAGTCTAACTGTGAACTAACTTTATAATAAGAAACAAGAATAAAAAATATAAGAACAAGATAAAATAAAATCTTTGGCACAAATTTCAAAATCTGACTGCAGAATTTTATCAACAATACAAACTCACATTAACATCACTAAATTTTCAATAGAATCAAATAAAAAAATCTATCATTCAGTTAGCTAATAAAATACTCAAAAAGATCAATATTACTAATTACAAAAATATTTCAAAAACAATTAGCATCATCAAAAATAACTTTTTATACTTAATTCTATCATTTACTTTCACTTTCACACACAAAATTAACAAGACAAAATGTTAGCACTAACAAATTTTATAACTAAATATAATAGTTTCAACTCTCACTTTATATCTATCTTATTAGACTTCTCTAAAACTGAATAGTTTGACAAAATCAAACTTTTTAGAAAAACTTTATTCATAAAAAAATTTATTAAAACTCAAAAATACAGAATATCAAAAAAAATTAACAGATTCTTTATAATAAATCTAGTATAATGATTCACAATTCTCTTGAATGAGTTTTCTAATAGATATTAGTTATTAAAATATGTCAAAATAATTAATTTACAGATCATTCATTAGAAATTAAAGAGCTTATAAGATCTTACTTTTATTAATAAACAAAACATAAAAATATAACTTCATTTTCTAATAATTAATAAAAAGCATAATACAATTCTTAATCTCACATTTTAGATTCAGCTTTTTTTTATCTGTAACTTAATTTCTTTTGATGAATTTTACAAAGCATTATTTATCACTTTATTATTTAAAGCTTCAGAATCAAATGATATTTATAATATTTAATTAAAAAATATGATCTTATCATACATATTATTTTACTTTAACTTTTTAATAATTATATTAATCAAGCAGATATATCATCTAAATAAAAAAATTCTATCATCACTCTCATTCCAAAATCATATAACTGGAAAGAAAATCTTGATCTTACTTGATTTATTATACTTATAATAATATAAAAAAAATCTTTTTACATATTCTCATAAACTAAATCTCAATAATTTATTATAATTTTAATATCCTTCAAGATTTTAACTTGTCAGTACTTTCAAATACCAGTATTATTATTTTTATTTATATTATTAACTGTTTACTTAAAGATATTCACTCTTATAAAAAAGAAATATGATATATTTTTCAAGATATAAGATATATATATAACTTTGTTAACTAGTTTATACTTTCTAAATCTTTCTCAAGAACAAAAATATATTCTTAATATATATAATTTTTAGATAATATTCATCACTTATAGTTTAATTAGATAATTATTGCATATAATAATACAGATTAATATTTAGTATCAAATAATTCTGATCAAAATAAAGTTCATACTTCTATTCTTTAACATATTTTTTATGATTTTCTATTTTGTTATATTAATATTCATTATTAATAAGATAATTATATAATCTTCATATCAAGAATATCATTACTTTATTCCTATAATAGGCTTATTATTTTATAATTAATCAATTACAGAATTTATATTGTAATTAATTACTTATTCATATAAATACAGTAGATGTGATATAATATATAGTATAGTCACAGTACATAGTGTAGTAATTATCAATTACTACTAAATTGGGTAAATAAGTAATTTTTATTAATTAATCTTAATTCTATTTTTAATTTATATTATTACCTATATTTAGCCTTATTCAAATATTAATTTAGCTATATGTATCACATCTAATTTATAGTTTTATTAAATTAATAATTTTTTTAATTAATTATTATTATTTCTCACTTTAGCTTTAAATAACTTAATATTTTACCAATTTTAAATTCTTTATTATCATATATTTAATATTTCTTGTAATTATTCTTTTTAAATTTTACTTATTCTTAATTAAATTAAGTAAAATATCATGTTAGAAGTAATTTATAATTAGCATAACAAGAAAATATTATATATAGAAAATCAAGAAGTGATCAAGAAGAATAATTAAGTTTGATAGAAGTAATTACTACTGAATTAAGAATAGTTAATTAGTATTTTCTTTAATAAAACACATATATTTTATCTCATATCTTATCTTATTTTCTTCTTGCTCTATTAAAAGAGTATTTTGTTATAAGTAAAACTTATATATATTATCTTATTGAAAAGATAATCATATTTTGTTACAAGTAAAACTCATATATATTATCTTATTAAGAAGATAATTATATTTTTTATTAGAAATAAATCTCACATACATCATCTTATTGAAAAGATAATCAGTCATATAATCTCTTAAAGTTATAAAAGTCAATAACTACCATAAATACAGTCACTATTATTATTTTAAAATAATTATATATGCATAATCTTAAAATGGTAATAGTCTTTTTGATACTCTCTCTGTGGAGACAAAAACTGAAATTAAAATTGACAATCACAGAAATAATTTAAACTAGATCTAACAAAATTAACTAACTATGAAATAGAAAAATAATTACAAAGATTAATCAATCTTTTTACTTCATCTCAATTATCTAGATAATAAGAAAAGGACTTATGCCAATTAATCTATAATTTATTTATTGCTAATATATCAAGAACAAATATTTTAACTAGTAAATATCAATTATAACTTTGGTTTCAGAATTACTCAACTTGTTCTACAGCTAAAATAGCTAGTATTATCCATAACTTACACAAGAAAATTACCACATTTAATTAACAGAAAATACACTACACTCAAAGATCCAGATCTAGTATCTCAGTTAACATACCAGTTAGAACTCCTATACCAGTTCCCTCATCATCCACTTCAGTCTCAACTCCCAATATATTCTTCACTAATCTTCTATATAGAAGAAGAGCTCCAGTTCAATCAAGAAATACAACAGAAGAGAAATCTTCAAAAAAAGAAGAAGTTCATCCTCCTATTCTTTTAGACTCATCTCCTTTATAACCATAAAGAAACCAAGAAGAAGAAAATATGGCAGATCAAGTTGTACAAGCACTAGTCACTACTCTAGATCCATTAGTAAAAGCCATGACAGCATAGCAGAATAGGCAAACTGAATTATCAACAGTACCACTTTTCTTTTTCAATAGAGAAATACATGAAGATCTAATTAGTTAGATAGAAGAGTTTGAATAATCAGCAAATGCTAATAATATTACTAATCTCAAAAAAGTAGAAATTGTATCAGTCTATTTGAGAGAAGTTGCAGTCACTTGATATCAGCAAAATAAAGTAGCAAATAATAATTGACCCACTAGTTGGAACGTAAATAGAGAAAATAATTCTTTTTATCACTCTTTTATTAATCAGTTTAGGATAAATACTCAAGTATTAGCATGACAATAATAGTTAAGATTGAGAGTATAAGAAGTAAATAAAGATGTGGCTCCATATGCAGAAGATGTTTGCACATTTCTTAGAAAAATTAATTCTGTATGTGCTTATCCCAACACTTACTATATTAAGCAATTTGTAAAAGACTTAAAGCCAGAGATTACCTTTTACGTTAATAAATCTAATCCAAATATACTAGATAATATAATTACAGAAGCAATTAATACTGAATCTAGCTATAGGTAAATCTACCAGAATCCTATAAATTCTATAATCTTCATGCCACAAAATCTTGGCATTCTCTTCTTCATCCCAAATCCAGCAAATGATATAAGCAAATAAAAAAGCTGTCTACTTAAAATAATCAAAATTCTAGTAATTGTTCTAATCAAGATAAGACTTGTTATAATTGTGATAAAAATAATCACATAGCCTGAGATTGCAAACTGTCAAAGAAGAATATAATTAGTAATAATAATAATAATATCCAAAATATTAAATATTTCAAATGTAATAAAATAAGACATTACGCTAATAGCTGTACAGAGAGAAATATGAATATAAGATAACCTGTTAATCTTGGTATCAATACTATCACTACAGTGCCAGATAATCACCTATTACTACAATAATTACAATAACTTTTAGGACAGTCTGTAATACCTCTATTTCTTAACACTATTACTACTAATAATAGTAATATCCCGCATTTAAACTAGAACTCATACCTAAAGAAGATCAGAGTATGAGCTAATCTCAAAAATCTTTAACAATATTTTTGTAGCAATTATTAACTGAAACTATAGAAGAAAACAAAAATCTAGAAAAAAAGAATGGAAAAGTAGTAGATGCAGTTCACTATGAAGGAAAGATAGAAGATCAGTCTATCAGAATAATAATTGATAGTGGATCAGTTAGCAATGTTATGTCAGCCAGGTTTTTAAATCAAGTAGGAAGAAAGATTGATAAATCTTCCAATATCAGTCTTATAGGAATAAATGGCAAGCCTGAATGACCACTAGGAGAAATAGAAGAGTTAAAAATACAAATTGGAGACCTAAGCTAACAAATTAATATCCTAGTTATGAAAAAAGCTAAGTATAACCTATTACTTGGCAATCAATTAGCTAAACAATCCAAAGCTATTTTAAATTGGGATGAAGAATTTTTAAGTTTTGAAGTTGAAGAAGAGTCTACAATCATCCCAATTACTTGTACTTAACAAAGATTAATCATGAAATTGATCAGTCTCGAGAGAGAACTTGAGAATCCTGCTCTTGAAGATGATAATAAAGAGTATGAATTTGAAGAAGAGGAGTTAGTTGACCAGTCTCTATATATGGTATACAAAGAGCAAAGTGAGTAATTTGTATTGAAAGTAGAAGTCCAAGAAAATCTTATAAAAATCAATGGTGAAATTATTAAACAAGAAGAAAAAGAATAAATTCATCAAGAAAGATTAGAAGATTATCATGCCTGCATCCATGGTAAAAAAGAAAATAATTGTGTTCAATGTAAAAAGGAACAAGATATATTTAGATAGT